AACTCTGCCTTTCCCGCAACTTGAGAATCATTGAGCAAGAAGCCTTCCTCAAGTGTACCTCTCTACAGGAGGTTTCCACTCCACCATCCCTGCTTTACATTGCGTGACGCGCTTTTGCAGGTTGCACGCAACTTCGAGCAATACGCAAGCAAGGAAAAAGTAAAACATGGCGAGGGACATATGCCCGACCCAATGCCTTTGACAAATGTGAGCAACTCGATCAGCCCAAATGGCTCCGATTTTTGCCGGCCGATGCCAATGATTTATGGAGGGAAGACTTTTTAGAACCTGCACCAAAGGCCAGCAATGCTTTCGCCACGGGAATGGTGCATAAGCACTCCGCCATGAAATACGTCAAGTGAAATGATGTGCAAACATTGAGTAGAGTCGCCAACTTGTTTTCGACATTCACGATACAGTGAGCCAAAAGGAATGAGAGCCTCAGCTCCTCGTTTCCAACAGGCGGGTGGTAGAGAGTGGCAATGGAGGATGCCCAGGGGGAACCTTAGTTCCCTCTGTTGATGTCCGACATTACCAATTTTGTACAAAGAGGCACATATACCATGCTAGGATAGGTCCACGGTCTCACCTGTTTCACACGGGCCTTGCGCGCAACAGGACAATGCTTTTGCAATGACGCAGCATTTCTCAAGGTTAGGGCACACCCCGTTCTGGCACCTTTGTGTGCCGAAGGGTGCAGAGATGACCTCCCTTCGGGGGGGTGAGCCTTTCGCACCCTTACCTGCAGGCTTTCGTCGTTTGCTATGGCCGCCACTGCCTGAACACTACCAACTACTGTGCCTCTTGACTTGTATGTGCAACCAGTTCCATGGGTTGTGCTACAAGAAAGGATTTTTCCACGGCATGATCTGCATAGCAACCACTGATCCACTTAGGCAAGGATCAGACCTGTGTTAGAGCATACCAATGCCCGGGACTTGCATTGTGACCAAGTTTTTGCCACTCTGTGCAGTGGCCGCTGGTCACTGGTAACAGTGATGTGAAGTCCATTTGACGACTTCGTTGAGATTTTGCTAGAGCACAAATCCTCGCTGCCATGCTCTTCTTTCGTGAATTCAGGCCCATAGATAGTCAGCAGTCATCGTCTCACTTGTTTCACCCTAGTACAGAGGAAATACTACTTGGTGGTGGAGTCTCGGCCTGTAGGCTGTGGTTGGTTTTGTTTGGTTTGTTGTTGGATTGTCTTTGTCCCTTTCTCCACCATCTGATTGATTTCCCTTCCTTCAATGATGACCTGGGCACCATGCCCACACGGCGTCCGTACTCGTGGAAAAAAAACACTGAGGCAAGATAGTCCATGACCTGATCCTCGAAGTCTTCAAATCGGTCGAATTTTGCAACACTGAGAGAGACATGCATTGTCATGCCCGAAAGGGTTGTTGGCACCAAACAGCAGTCCATAACCGGCTCATTCTCGATGGGGGTGCTGGCCCCAGAGAGGCCGGCAGGTTCCATGGGTGGTGGAGTCCTTCTAATGCTGTTTGAGCCAAGAACTGCCTACTTCGCTCGTTTGCTATTTATTGCTGATTTGCAACAGCGGTGATACAAGGTTGTCACACATCAGAAAAGCATTGCGGATTTTTTGTTTTTTTAATTAACCAAAAAGCCTCATGCATCCATCTCGGATATCTTTTTCTGAGTGCTGCGCAACCCCCCTACGTCTGCTCTCTGCGATTCAGCGTTGCTCGGTGTAGTATTGGCTTATCTAGCTTGATAAGCGCATTTAGTTCGTCCTCTTGCTTTGATCTTGTTCAACTTCGGTTTGGTCGTATTGCATGGCTTGGATGGGGTTGGTAAGGTCCATTGTGCCATAGAAAGCGTCAAACCTCGACCCTGCGCGTTCAGCATACAGAGTGTCCATGTCTGCTAAGTAGCGTGGATGACAGTACCACCCGACCCTGCGCTGCCACTCTACATCCGTGATGGCATTATGTATCGGGAGCGCATATGGTAGTATTGTTTTATCCTTGAGGCCAGCAGGGTATCCTATCTGATAGTACCGCTTGAGAAGGTCTTGAGGGGTGGCAGTCAGCGTCCCTCTTTTGGCCAGAAGCTGCCAGTTCTGCCTCGATAGTACTACTGCAAGCCCTGTGAGGAGCCATCTGGAGATGACTTCATATTTATTACCAGTGCATCTAGCTGCATAAGTGTCTTTGGCTCTGAGTAGGAGGCTTTGCCTGAAGGAGAAACAGCCTTGCCCTTCTGGCGCCACATAAGTTTCTTCATCCTCCTCCTCTGCCTCCTCCTCAGCCTTCTTTGCACTGGCGGGTTCTACAGGAGTGCCTTCCTGTGTTTGTGGGGTCAGCCCGTCTGCCCGGTTCTGTTCTCGAGCACTGGCAGTTTGGAGGGCAGTTCTCCGGGGTGTAGTCGGGCGCTTGGCCTGTGCGGGGGGCAGCACTGCTTTCACCACGTCTGGCCACACTGGCACTTCGATCCGGAGGACACTTTTGTATGTGGATTGGAAGGAGACCATTTGGCCCAGATTGCCATCCAGCAGTCCTTGCTCGTAAGCCCCTGCAAGACTGGGTGTGTGCGGGAGGCCTGCAAAGGTGCTCGAGGGACACAGGCATTCATATGTGCTCACAACAATGTATGGGCTGTTGGTTTCGCTTTCACTATTATGCTTGTACTCCTTTCCGTCCTCTGGAGTGATTTCTGTGAAGAGCAGGTCTGTCTTCATGCGTGTGATGGATGGGGAGGTCCGGCTTGCCTAGGCTTTGATTGCGGCCAAAGGACATTACAACTGTTTGCATAAGCGCCAAGGTTTTGCCTGTGGTTTCGATGTCTGGTGTGCCTCCCTCCTCTTTTGCTTTCCATACTGGGGTCCCATTGGCTTCTTCAATTCTTGGCACAATAGGATAAGAGTCCATATAGCCAGTAGGCCGGGTCTGCATAGAGTGCTAGCCCCAGTGTGTCCGCTTGTGTGCCAGCACTTGGGTCTGGTTTGAGGAAGGCAAATAGTGACGCAAGACGTCTGGCTAACTCCCCACCAATGTTGTTGAAGTCATATACGATATTCCTCATTACCTCACGCGGCAGTGACCGAAAGTCGACTCCACGGAAATTAAGCTCAGCAACTCGGCGGTAAAGGGTGACCCTCAGCAGCACACCGATCTGGCGTACCTGAACACTAAGACGTGCCAGTGGCCACTCTTGTGGCAGGTTAGCATAAAGGCTCACTGGGGGCGCCACTGGCGGCAGCATCGTGGCTGCGTCTACAGAATTAGTACTGCGTGGGTACTGTGCTTTGCAGCTTGCGTTTGGTAACGAAGCAGCGAATGCACAGCTCTCTGCTCTGCGAGGTGAGCTGTGTCAGCATCAACCTGGTCCCGACTGGTCATCTGCCTCCGCAAGAAAGATTTCTATTGCGGGGGCTTCCTCCTTGGTTGATGTGTGCACTTCTGGGTCATTTGTATCCGCAAAGGCGGTAGCGGTGTGTGTAGTCGAGACTGGATTGCATCAATCATCCCCTGCTCTGTACCCCGTCCCTGTGGGTACTCGGCTGGTTTGGCCACCTTAGACTTGACTGCAAAAGGCCCTTGCATCCTGGGCCGCGCTGTTGCCTGTGGGGCAGGGGCCTTGTCCACACCTTTACCTGCACTGCGAGCAGAGCTGGTCGGGCTATCTGGGCTAGCGGCCGATCGCCTTGTCTTATCCACGCCTAATGGCGGGGCTGCAGAGACTGCAGGCGGACTAGATGCCCATTGGCTGCGTCGCCTTGCTTCCTCGATTGGAGGACTGCCAGGACTGTTTTCAGATAGAGGCACAAGAGGGCAGCCACACGGGTGACCACTCTCAACCTCGTGATTAGTATTTGCCGCAGTTCTTGTGCTCTCTAAGGGTTTCCTTTGGTCCTCCGCTTCATCAAGAGGAGGGCTAGGCGCAGGCCGTTTTGTTCCTACTTGCTGTTGATTAGTGGCTGCCTTCCATGCCGTGGGCAGGCACCGGGCAGAGTGCTGGGCAGCTGAGGCTGGCGTCAGTACCTTTGTATCCTGGGAGGAACTTGCAGTTTGCTCTGGATGGCCTCAGTGCTGTCATCGAGGCTGGCTTTTTCCCGGAGTATTTGTGCAAGCAGTTCCTGCAGCTTTTAGCAGCAAAGCACAACCCAGATGAACCAGGGCTACAGTTCGACTATGCCCTGATGTACGACATCTATGACCGCAACTACCACAAGATGTTCAGAGATTTGGTGAATGGAGAGTACGACCAGACTTGGGACGCGATTGTGGAGGCATGGCACAACCGAGATGAAGAAAGAGATCATTTGATCTACACAGAGGAGGAACTTGGACAATAGTGTGCTAAGAGTTCGAAAAAGAGAACTCACGCAAGGCAGGGTGTTAGAGATTTCAAATGTACATGAGCACACATACATGTAAAGATGTAAGAGCAGTATCTGTTCTTATCAGTGTGACTCCGCACTGCAGTGGCTCAGCGATGAGTGAAAAGGAGCGATGAAACTGCCTAACAATTTTCATTGGCTTGCTTGTCAACAAATCCCATCGGAAAATACGCTCAACACACATAGGAACACTCCAACCATCCAAACAGTCGGATAAAAATCAAAGAAGGTCAGATGACCCAGTTGCCGCAGATGACAGCTCAGCAGTTTGAACCCGTTGCTCGGGATTTCCATTTTTGAGTCAGAGGTTGGCAGGCTTAGAGGCAAGGATGTGGAAAAAAGATCTGGTTCTTGTGGCTGTGACCAGTGGCAGTGTTGCGAGTTACTGTGAGGGCCTGAGCTGCCGAAGCAGTCAGCTTCAAGGTGCACTCAAAAAATTGTTTTCATCAGGCTGACGCCACCAACAGACGATGCGCATCATTCAGATTTAGAAGACGCACTAACGAATGAGACATGTAGAAACTGCGCCACCGTGCCGGCACCATAGCCTGCGCATCGATCAATGGTAGCTTGCCACGGAGCACCTACTAGCTGCCCTGACCTTAAATTGGGCACACTCGTGCCATTTGGTGTCGATTTGGGCTCCCAGTGTTTTCCTTTAGTAGCTGTCCTGTTTGTTTCACCTGTACGCCATGGAGATCCAACAGCTGAAGGACATGGGCTTTGGTGCTGCGGAAGCTGAGGTGGCGCTCAGCCAGGCGGGCAACGTGGAACAGGCGCTGGAGCTGCTCCTCACGACGGAGACCGACTCCCCAGCGCCTCCGTCGCCCACGCGGACCGCGGCTGGAACGAGTGGAACGGTGCTGGTCGCGCCTGGAGCGGCCGATGGCCCAGTGGAGACGGAGTGGCCGGAGCTGCCTAAGAAGAAAATGAAACCTCCTGGTTTGGAAGATCAAGGCTACAATGCAGATGTGTCACGTTCCAATGAATTCGCACTTGAGGACATTGTTTGGGGTTTGATGCACCACATTAGCAAAACATCGGATCGGATTTTCATGGTTTTGGTGGATTCTTGTTGCCTTGTCCAAAGTATGATCAAAGAACAGACCAATGGGGAGATGTCATGGGTGGTGTCCCGAACCCAGGACAATGTGCCGACACCACAAATGCCTCGGCCTTTGGGGCTGCCCTGCGGCTTGCTGAATGTCGGTAATACCTGCTCCTCAGCCCACATCAGAGGATGATCCAGGACATCTCTGAGCCAGCCAAACCACCTTTTCATGAAAAATCGTTCGAACTTTTGTGACTCTGTGACACTTACTGTGGTTTTGTGGGGTCAGCAATTGGGTTTTGGTGGCCTTACAAGTGAGGCTATGTGAATTCCTTGCTGCAGACACTCTTCCACGCGGAAACCTTCCGAAATCAAGTGCTTCGCTTCGAGTCCGGCACAGATCCAAGCCGTTTAGAGGGGCTTCCACCAAGCAGCTTCTCTTCTCTTCAGAGGCTTTGAGGCTTTGTGTGTGAAGTGAAATTTGGTCGACCAAGGAAAGTCCTTCAACCAAGCGTAAGGGGACAAAACACCGAATGGATGCGTAACGGGGAGGAGTCACGGAGCTTCGTCCAGAATGAAGAGAGAGCCGTTTAGGGCATCCTAAACCATAAGGACCTCATTTCAAAACCCTATGCATTCCAAAAGATCCGAGTCCACTCTTTGTTTTGAAAGGACCCTCGCCCCATTCTATCAAAGCACATCTGAGGCACCAACACTGAAGAAGCTGCGAAGGGGCTGGCGCAGCAGCGGCGGCACCAACATGCAGTGCAGCTGGTCTTGGAGCTTCGAAGGCTCTTTGCATTTTGTGCCTTGGTTTCGAAACCGTATGAAACCGTTGTGTTGCCTTCTTCCAAAGGATCTCCACATGGCTGTGTATTTATATAGGGATATATAGGCATAGGCCAATCAATGGGTAGACTGGTCGATGTTCCTGGACCCATCCGTGGAAGGTCCCTGGAAGATGAATCCACACCCACATCAGTAGACTGGGTCGGTACTTTGGCAGACCGATCCCTGGTACACTGGACACTGTAGGACCGTAGGTGAAGAGTTACCGCAAGACTCTTCTGTTCATTGTGGAACTGTACGTAGCTTTGGCCTTCCACAGCCACATGGCTTTGGATGATACCCTTTCAAAAGAGGTTTTGTTCCACCTTCGATGGACCGATTTTGGATGAACATCTTGACGATCGCCCCACCAGGGCGAGTCCAGCCCTGGCCACCCCCGCCACCGTCGTCTGGCCCTCCTCGCAGAGTGCCTTGTGTCATGCAGGTCAGCACACGGAGCGAAGTTGCGTGAGCCCCCAACAGCTCATCGCCGAGCTGGTGGATCAGCATGGGCACAAGCTGCCCATTGGCGGACAGGAGGAGAAAGAGACCCCCCACACACACCCGGTTGGTCGCAACGTCATTCGAACATTGGCGGGGGGAAAACAGAGAGCAAATCTGCATTGGACAAGTTCTTGTACTCCCCTGCAGATTGACATGGTTTCTCCCCAAAACCACTGGGTTGGTATTCGGAAAATGGTCGAAACCATGGGTCAATTCTCAGGGACGATGGGATCGTCTGCTGGGGGGGGGGAGTAATCCGTTTTTCTCCTCTTTTCTGCACTTCTTGCCCCCAGAGCTCCTGTAGGACGTCAGCGAGTTTATGCTGAAGTTCGTAGATCAGTTGGAGGAGCTCCAGCTCGGCGTTCTCGTGCGTTGGCTCCCCCAAAAGTCGATGTTTGGGTCCCTTTTCTTGGGGCTCCGGACCTCGAAAGGTTGCAAGCTCTTGTGATTCCTGCTTTTTCGTTTGGTGGCAGTGATGTTCAGATTTGCAGCCAGCCAGGAAGGATTCTCAAAGAGTAAAGATGCACAAGCCCAGGCGGGTTTCGGGTGACTCTGTTCTCAAAGGTTCTAGATTCTAGATTCTAGATAAGCAACGTGAGTCTGGCCATGCGAGGAGGCGACCGAGAAGGGTACAAATCCACTTCATGAGCTTCTATTTGGCGAGCAAGTGCAGGTCTTTTCCTACAGGGAGAGTGGAGAGAGTGCAGCGGCCGAAGCGTGTGACGACAGTCCCAGCAAAGGCGAAGCGAAAGGCGAAGCAAAGGGTGAAGCTGGCGAAGCGACATCTGAAAAATGGGTGGTGAGCGAGGAATGCAGTGATTTCCTACAGATTTTTCTGGATGTGAAGCACAAGAACCTTTACTCTGCATGGGCGGCATCCAGTCAGCAAGATGTGGACTACACGACCCCAACGGGCTCCAAGGCCCTGAACGAGGGCTATCAGACCTAGCTGCGTGTGACACCGAAGCAGTGCCCGCAAAACGGTGAACACCAGCCAGATGTGCCCCGCTGAACCTTTCTAGGATCCCTTTGCGATGGACATGGACATAGAAACACCAAGTCTTTGGTGATTCTGGAAGCCGTTATAAGATTAGTAAGCATCCACATTGATTGCCATGTGTCCATGTGTTGTAGGCCGATGGCAAGACTCGAGTCTGGATCCGACGACTGCCAAAGCTTCTCTTCTTCCAGCTGCAGCGTGTCACCTTTGACCCTGAGACGAAGGCCATGAGCTTGTGTCTACCGATGGAACATCTCGCCTGCATTGGAACTATGATGTCTTGAACTTCAAACAGGTGTTTTTTTCTGGGTTCTTTTCATGGTGTTCTACCGTGCGAACCATGTAAAGAAAACACGTCCGCCAGGCGCAGGTCAAGCTTGAGGATGAGTTCGAGTTTGATTTGACCATCTACCCGGACCGCTTCTTGCAGCGGAGCCTTGGTTGCCAAGCAATGCTTTAGGCTTTGACCACTGGGCCACGGGCCGGCCACGGGGTAATTGGAGGGAAGAAAGCCGAGCTCAAATTTCAATTGCCCATCCTCAAGGAATTGGATACAGATGCTTTAACCCAAGCCCATTTTCTTTCCTTTTTCCCTTTTCTTTTCCTAAAGATCTAGGAACCACATGAATAGCGTGAGCTATCCTGCGTCCTACCTAGGAGCTTACCTCCTTACTTAAGGGGCAGGCCATGAGCTAAAAGTCCCACCTATGATTGGTCTCAATGAGCCACTTGCTTGCCACACATGTTTGGCTTCGGGATGATGCCAGGCAAATAGAGAGAATCTCTTCAGAAAGAAGCATTGAACATGTTAGGTCTGTCACAAGCAATATGCAACATACAGATCTTCTCTTCTTTTCCGAAAAAAAATCAATGAAGTCCACCGTTGTTTTCTCACTTCCTGCGATCTCACTCCACCCATCCCCACTTTCTTTCTTTCCGGTGTGGCTTTCGGTGTTCGTTAGCTGCACGGAGGAATCAAGAGAAGGTGCTCCAAGTGGAGGCTGAAGTGCAGCGGCTGGAGCAGCAAAAGCAGGAGATCGAAGAGGCGGAACACTGGCTGAGTCGCGTAAGAGGATGCCGATTCGGCGGTGTGGATCCACAGGGTTGAAGTTTGGTGCTGAAGTTGCTGAAGTTTGGGTTGAACGGAGGCTGTATTTGTTTTGAAGATGATTGAAGCTTCCAACTTGCTTTGAAGTTGATTGATTGTTGATTATGGATTTGACAACCCCAATGACCGGCCATCCCTGGATAGGCTCTGGTGCGCTTCCGCAACTATCCGGTCCGATTCTCAGAATGTTCGAGGTTCCACTGGCAGTGTCTGAAAAAAACGCACGGATGGGCCCACTGCCCTCGCCCCCCTGGTCGTTCCCCAAGAAAGAGTGACCTGACAGGCCGGCGGCGAGAGCGAGACCAATCCGTTATCACTTCCAGCCCATCGCTTGCTCTCCAGTGCTGCACAGTTACTCGAGCGCAATGCCGTCCCCGACGTCGGCTTCTCGTCCACTGGATGGGATCCGGGCGTGGCCGTCCAGCAGTCGAAAGGGATGCCGGACGAAAGGATGCAGGCGCTCTCGAGCGCGTGGCAGGAGGCGGTGGAGACAGTTCCCGCTGCATTGAAGGCCTTGAGGTGTTTGGCAGAGCTCTGTGAGAGTCAGGAGGAACACCTGGTCCGAGAACAGCTTCGTGTCCAGAAAGAGCTTTCGGAGGCCTACGAGTCCCACGGTTTGCAAAAGGAAGGATATGAGCTCTATGCCATTTGGGTGCATCAGGGAGAAGCAAGATCCGGACATTACTTGGCATTTCTAAGGGACTGGCGACAAGACCGCTGGGTACGTTTCAGCGATTCGTTCGTGTCCATCGTCACCTGGGAAGAGGTCCAAACAGTGGCTTTGGGTGGCACATCGAGATCTTCTGCATATGTTTCCTTGGCGGTGCTTTCAGACATTTTTGTTGCATCCTTGCCATCTGTGAATCGCGTGTCATGTACAGTATAATATAGTATATATTATATATATATGTTTCGCAGTACTCTCTCTCTCTCTCTCTCTTCCGATTCAATCGTTCACGGCTTTCGCTGTCAGGGTTGCTTGTTCGCTTTTCTCATTTGCCAGGTCTTGGTGTACATGGAAGCCTCCTTGGTGAAATTGGAAGCTGCCAGCGAGGAGGGGGAGATCGACCTCATAGCCTTGCCCTCCTTGGTGTCTTTGTTGAAGGAGATCAATGTCGACAACCAGCTGCTGGAAGACGAACGCGGAAGCTGGGAGGAACAGCTGAAAGGTCCTCCGGAGGAACAGGATCACTTTCTTTTTCCTTCTCTTTCAGGAGTGCTGATACTCTTCCCGACAACACACACACACACACAGCAGCACTTGGCACGTTTTTTTTGGAAGGGTTCCTGTGTGCTTTGTTTCAGCACGTGTGCGGCTTCTACACAAGTGGTCAGGTCGTGAGTTGAAGCACCATGCGCAAGCCATCTTCCAGCACTATGCGGGGCTTCTACATACCTGGGAACCGCAGAAGCACCGGGGCGATTCCGGAGGGAACCCTCACGATGCCAGCCACCGGAAGATCCTGAACGATCCGGTCGCTGTGAAGAAGCGGACGTGCTTTTTTTCGTTCCTTTCGTGCGCCTTTGAGTTTCCACCCAAGTATTTATCGAAATCTATCGAATTTTGTGAATGCCCAACTTCTTTGAATTGGAATTCTGGAAAGGACAAGATGGAACCGACCCCTTCCGGGAGTCTCTCCACATGTAAAATCCCTTCAGGATGAGATTGAGTGGCAAGCCTACCCAACTTTGATCAGCTTGCAAAGCAGGATCAATCCTAACCACCACATGTCAGCACCACCCCTTTTTTGTTGGAAGCACAGAATATCGGCGCAGGGTCAACACCTACTTTCAGGTCCATCCTGTTCTCCAAGTCATTCAAGCACGGACACATCCGCACTTGTGGAAACTGTCTAACTCTGGTGGTTTTGCCCTTAGGAAAGGCTGGAAGCCGGTGTTCCACTCCACCAAAGCTCCAGGATGTGTTCATGCACATCTTCCAATTTTTCAGCAGAATCCAATCTCCAAGGCATTGATTTCGCTGGAACTGTACCTCTATCGCCAGGGTGGGGAGCAAGACGTTTGGCACTACTTGTTGAAAAGCGTCTTGGTTGAAAGTCCAATCTGAGAGAACACGCAATTTTTTTATTGCTTATCATCAGACTGCTGGTAGATGCTTCATTGATGTAGCTGGTTGTTGTCTTTACCCTGGATACCTGTGCATGCGAAAAGGTGGTACTGGTTTAACCAGTTTGTCCTTCTTTTCCAGTGACACCATCCTTCTTTCTTTGACCGTCTTTTTTAGATCTCCTTTTTGCTCTTGCTGAGCAGCAGAAGTGGGGAAGGAGCTGAAGTGTGGTGTGTTTTTTGCTCGCTGTTCCCCTTGTTCCCCTTTCTGACCAGAAGAGTTCTCCTCTCGTTGTGAAGATGTTTGTCAGAAAGAGACTTTCTGACTTTCTGTGAAGATGAATGCTCAGATGGACATGCGGAACGCTCAGCCCGCACGCTCAGGAAGTCTGGATGCCCAACGAGAAATCCGTGCTTGGCAGTCGGAAGACGAAGGCAGGATTCTGTTCTTCTTGGCAGAAACCATGCGAAGCCAATCGTGCTCTTTGGCGGCATTTGGCCCGAATAGAAATTCATTCTTCAGGGTGCGCTGAACGCACTTTGGCTTAGGTTATGTGAAGATGCTGCAGGAGAAAACACCAAGTGCCTCGCCTGAACCGATGGGAGACGAAAAGGATGATGTGAAGCCGCGGAGCGAGTACGAGCTCATCGACCTTGATCTTCAGGAGCTGAGGGATAGGTACAGTGACGTGCTGCGGCAAGCGTATATGCTTGACGAGGCGCGGGCACAAAAAAGGGCTCACCAGGTCAGACGAATGTTGGAGCCATGTGCTGGTTTGGGTTGGACAGCGAGCTGAATCAAAGAACGATGGGGGGTGAAACGGTCCACATCTCCGGTCACGGCATTTGCGTTCTCATAAGAACGATGCACCTCTCCTATGTCGACTGTAAGTTTTGCCCTGATTTCTTCTTCTCCATGGCCCCCGTGTTCGTTGTTTCAGGCATTGGATCTCTTAAAGAAAGAAGGTGGTCTCGCCCTGGCTCGTTCCATCGGCTTGCTGTCCTTGCTTTGGGCTCACTACAATTTGGACACGGATTATCGTTTCCGGCACAACGAGGTGCTTTTGGTTCTAAGCTCCTTGATGTTCAACACGGTCTCCAGCATCGAGTTGCTGAATGCCAGCACTCAAGCAGCCTTCCGTGAGCTTTGTGAATACTTTTACATCGTTCTTCACTGCGTTGAATGGCCCAAGGGCTGGAAACTCCCTTTGCAGAATCGGATTAAGACCATGTTTCCTCATGCTCAGTCACTCTTGGATGCAGAAATGGCGCAAGTCTTGAAAGAAAGAGCCGAGAAGGAAGGAGCACCTGGCGTCACACCAATGATCAACAGTGCGGACCAAAAACAATTAGTTCGACAACGATCTTTGATGCATTTGGATGGCAAGTCAGTGGACGATTTTCGTGAACATCCTCCGGCTGGCGAAGCTTTTTTCGAGAGGCATCGATCGCTCTGGCTGTGGACCATGTCGAACGAAAAGGTTCTTGCACAGGAATTTGTGAACCTTGCTTCTGGGACCTAAGCCTTCTTACGTAGACTCACTCGAGCAGGAGCAGGGACGCGAACATGCGAAGGGGTCTTCGCCGAACACCGCGGCGCCGACGCGTTCGTCGGAGCGCGGAGCTGGCTCGCTCCCGTTCAACACCGGGAGACCGCTGAAGCACGGTCTGCTGGAGTTGCCACCATGACAAGACCAACTTGGAGCTCGTGTAAAAAGAGAGAAGGTGACCGTTCTTGAACTTCAATAGCTAGACTATGAGATGAGTTTAGTTCTGATTCTACAGTCAAGTGGAAGGCCTTGTAGCATCGCAACATCATGCCTGAGGCAATGGGAGGTGTGAGGGTGGGAGGAACAGCTTCACTTTTGACTTGTGCTGTCAGGCTCCAAAGCTTTAGACTCGGTGCTGCAATTCGTCAAGACGCAACATCCAATCTCTGGGAGTAGCCAAAGCTGTTACAGCCACCTACCACCTGTTTGACCCCCGGCTTTTTCCGACCCAAACGGGGGTCATGCAGGTTCTAGGTCTTTGTGCTTCACGTTTCTGGAGTATCTGAAATTCCAGGAACCCAGCAACTTTGAAGATCACTTTTTGAGCCGATAGGATCAACACACAGCCCCCCTATGCAGCCTATGCAGCCTATGCACTTCTTTGATGACGGGGTGATGTGTGGTGCCCCGACAGTCGAGCCCTGGTCCAACTGAAACGACCAAGCCAAACATGTCGTCGTGGTGTTTCTTCCTGACCCAAACCAGGGGCCGGGAATGCTCCAAACCGTTTCGATGACGACCGAGGTCTGGTTTCCGAATGCTCACACCACCGTCCGAAGACGTTCCGGGTACGAACTCAGACGACGAGACGCAGCGAAGAACGGGACGGAACGAACCTGAAGGTGTTGTTCTCCGGGCCGCGAAGCCTATGGGGAGCCATGCGCGCCTTTGTCGACCGATGGTGCCAGAGTCGACCAGTGCTGGTGCCTCCCTCAGTCCGGTGGGGGGCGTTTTGCAGTGGAAGGCGAGTTTTTTCACTGGTTGCCCATGTGGAGCGTGTATTTATATATTGGGAGACACCCTGGGCCAGTGGGTTTTTGGGCTTTTGCTTCTTCAGGGAATCTTTGTTTTCTTTTCAATTCTAATACGGACCTAAGGCCTGTGTTGTAGCCGTTCTTCCAGCTGTAGATTTCCTCACCCTTCCGGATGAATCTCTGAGAGGGGCTTCAACCAACGCCCAGCTGCTGTTTATTGTTCTATCTATCTTTGCTAGGCAAGCTGGCAGACACCTTCCAAGGTTTCAAACCATAATGGAGCTGCGCCGGCTTTTCACAGCTTCCCAAGCCCCCTTTTCAGCATGACAATCAGCGCTTGACGGTTTCTTTTCATTTGAGGTAGCCATGCTGATGGTCTCCTACTCTGTGCAGAGGCATGATGGTCACCTCAGCCCTGGAACGGACTCAGCGACGCCCGCCAAACCCAACGACTGGTTGGTCGCGGTGCAAAACATTCAGACCCGTTCTCTACCAGAATCTACTGGAGGCAAGGCTCATCCACCAGTTCGAGATATACAACTTTTTGCTTTACCTTGTTAAGCTGACCAGGCATGAAGGCAGACCAAGGTGGGAGGGTGCCTCACAGCTCACAGTGATGGCCCATGGATACGCATAGATGTGAAGTACAAAGAATGCTGGACTAGTGCCTGTCTGACTATTTTTGATCCCAGCTCTCTTTTCAACAGTGTTTCTCATGGATTCTATCAACAAAGCATAACAAAGTAATGGGCCGCTTCAAAACCATCGGGTGACTTCAGTGCCCGTTTCACAAGTCACTGAGGCAAAGCCACAGCATCTCGAGTGTAATCTATGCACCTTTCCGTACGCACCTACCTCTCCTTCAACGTTACACCTGAACGATCTCGATCTGGTCCACTCACCGTGTCTTGACACCCAAAGGTCTCAAATGCTAAGCTACTAGGTTGGAGGCCACCGTTACTAGGGTGGAGGCCATTACTAGCAGCAAGAAGCTACTAGTAGCTATTTGCTACTAGTAATTTCCTTTTGGGGTCCCAGCCACCCTCTGAACGATCCTCCCCGCCTGGCTGCGAAACTTCCCCACGTCCGCACGCGGACCTCGCCACGTGACCCGCAGTCTCTTGATCACCTCTTCCAAGTCGCACGTCCAGTGCGTCGTTCGGGACGGAGTCGGACACCAGGTCGGTGGGGTTACTAGCGTCACAAAACGTGTACTTAAAAAGGGAGAGGCTTCCTCTTGCCATTCGCTTCATTTTTCGAAGTCTTCACGCAGCTCATCCGCTCATTTACTCATCTTGTTTGAAACCACTCGGGAGGTCTGAGACACACCAGGTACAGCGCCACGGTGGCCGTCTTCTTCACCGAGTGCGTCAAACTGGTTTTTGCGCTGGTCATGCTGCCACCGAAGGCGGTCCTCCACCGGTTCGCATGGCACCGGTTCGTCCACCGGCTGGCGTAGCAGCGGGGATGGTTCCGATTTTTGGGGAGGCATGGAATGGACAACTTGCAGTGAGGTTTTTGCAAGCCTGCACTGTGGTGTGTGCAATCATTTGGTTGATAACTGGAGACCCACTTGCGTCCACTTTGCGCAGGCGCTTTCCTCTTTGCATAAGTCTGCAAGTTGGCTGTTTGCCGTACCTGCAGCGCTCTACACCCTCCAAAATCGGCTGGTGCCGGCGGCCTAAATTCTGTCGTTGCTTCATATGAAGTGCATGTGCTACCCGGCCGTGCACTCGCTTAAGAGCTCAGGTTTGAGGCGCTACATTTCATCTCACCACCAGAGTACCAGCTCCTGAACAACATGAAGCTTTTCACCACCTCCCTGGTGTTCCGGGTGGTGCGGGCGCCCGATTTGACGAACGGCCGGGTTGGTCCCAGCCGTCCCAGCTGCTTGGTTCTCATGCGCTGCTTGGTGAGGTCATGAAGCGTCAGCTGCGGGTGTTCCAATGGAGCTGTCTGGCATGTTGACCTGTCGGTTCGGATGGGAAACGAAGCTGATTGCGAGGAGAAAGGGCCGGCCGGCGGTCGTTCTTGGCTTTTTGGATCCATTTTGTTCTGCCAAAAGAAGTGCAAGAATGGAAGGAAAGAAGGCAGGTGACAGTTCATGTGAGGAACTGGGCACTCTGTGACTGCTTGAGCCATGTTCAACGAAGGGTCACAGAGTGATATTCGGACTGAACCAAAACCAAATCAAACCACACCAAGCTCCCCCAAGCCCAGCTTTCAGCCAAGCCAAGCCAAAACCAAACCAAAACCGAACCAAACCCAAGCCATTTTGACGGGGAGACCCAGCTCATCCCCCAAACCACTCCAGCCTTCAGCCGAGGTATAGCCAACCCAAGAAACAAACAGTTCTTGCCAGGACATGGCACTTGCAAATTGCTCTCCTCCCATACGCAGGGGCACTATTTGATCAGATTCCGGGACATTTTCGCCACAAAAGCCAAGCCAAAGCAACCAGATACTCCTGCTACGCCATAGCAAAACCCTACCAGAAAAAGGCAACAAAAATGACAGGGCCCGAAAGGGTATGGGGCCTGTTGGACAGGGCTGGTTTGCACAATGACATGTGAGTTAGCAAGGTTTCTTTCAGTGTCATCAAACCTGGGGCCTGAGGGGTGAAGATGTGGCGTCCAAAACTCGGCTCCAATTTTTCTCCACCCACCCTCAATCGTTGGCTCACTTCTTGCTGCTCAGCCGCAAAAGGCGCAAAGGAATGAGGGCCGAACACTGATCGATCCCTTGCCCCCTTCCGGGGCGCGTGTCTCGCCTTCGCCAGGTTGGCCTTGTTGCTCTTGGGTTTGGGCATGGCATTAGCCACCACACCCAAACCTGGATCTACGACTCAAGAGGCCAGTCGCGCCGGGCCCGGAGGGGCGGTAAGGATTCCATTGGACACGACTTCGAGGTGAAGCTTCTTGTGAATGAAAGAAGCTGATTAGCTGATGTTAGCTTTCTTCTTCTCACTGCAAGTGAGAAGCGCCTGAACGAGAATGAGTTGCCTGTTGGTTTGGCAGGTGGGTGCTCTGAAATTTGACCCTGTCACTGCCTGTCACCCCCCACCAGCCACCAGGCACATCAAGTGAGGGATATGAGAGGGACTCCCAAGCCACTGTGTTTGCCGGACTTGAGCCATGAGTTTCGTATTTGGGGACTCCAAGCAACACCCAGCGAGCAACTTCACCTACTCTCGACCTGATCGGTGGTCTTTTCAGCTGGATTCTTCGGCACGTGAGTTCGATGTGAGCGTCACTGTTTGGAATTGCTCCAGGATACTCGCCATGATGTGTGGATTGGATCGGCCATCATGTTCGCAGTCGCCTGGTGCAAGCCTCAGGTCTGACCAGCCAATGATGATGGGAAGGTAGGCTTAGAGGTGCCATTCGGAGCTTCTTGATTTTTTGATCAGGACTGGTTGTGGATGTTGTGCATTTTCCACTCTATGCGAAGACTTGTTCTTTGGACGATTTGTTGCTGTTGAAGGCAGACGTCTTGCACCAGTTGGTATGGTAGTGTGGATAGCAGATAACAATAACCAGGGTTCGTTCGAGCTTGGGGATGGTACAGGATTTCTTCCAACAGGACTTGTTGCTAAGGTGTTCTGCCGTTGCAGGTGTGATGAATGAATGGCTCATCAAGAGCAGCAGCAGCGTGTTGGAGGCTTTGGGGTGTTGAGTTCTAGAGCCTCCGGTAGCCGACCCTTAAGTTGGATTCTGCAATTGAGCTCGGTAGTGGAATCTTCCCTTGGTGAAGGAAACTCTCCAGCTTGTCAGTAATAAGTTTTTTTTATTTCTCTATAGTAGCCGAAACCCGCAGAGTTTCTTTCCCAGCACATCATCTTCCCTTGCGGTGTTGTTGCACCTCCCCTGCGACGTCGTGAGTTCCGTTCCTCGCCGCCTCGCTCGTTCCCCGGCGACGTTCCGCCAAAGGGGATTCGTAGGCGAATGTGTGGCTCTATCTCTTTGGTGCCTTGATCACCCTGGCATCGCTACTGGGGAGTTGGGGCACCCGGAACAATTGGTGAGGTTTTCATGTTTGAAGAAGGGGCCTTTTTGTAAATGTTTCGTTCAGTTGCTGCTCTTTGGGAGAAAGTTTGAAAAAGGGAACTTATTGTAAGCCTCCTTGTCTCGGAAGCTTCCTGAAATCTTTGGAGCCCACTGTATTGCTGAGGTGAGACAGCAGCGGAGGGATACTTGGCAGGCTTTGACAGCTCCATGCTTCCGTGGAGTGCTGCCCAGATGCAAGTACTGTCAAAACAATGAAGCACGAGGCAGCTTGTTTTGTCGTGCGACGACTGCGTTGCCGCATTCTCGAATCCGGAAGCACATTAGGTCCTTAGGTAATGCATGCGCTGTAGGTCATTGGGAGGAGTGTGATAGCATCGATAGGCCGACTCCAGCATCACCAGGGAGCCATATGACCTTACGACGCTAATTCAACGTCCATTAACCGCACCCAGTTCGGGTTGTGAATGGATGCAAAAACAACACCTTTCTTCCGGGGGATCTTACTACCAGAACTGGGTGTTGGGTTTCATCCTCTTGGGATGTGGGCATCCGCAAGTCCAGGCAGTTCCCGCTGTTCGTTCAGGAAGAAACTCGGAAGAAAGCAAAGTCGTGGAACTCATGCGTCAAAGCGGTGGAACCGAGGTTGTCCTCTGCAATGCCGTTCTGGGTCAGTCCATCGCTTTTCTTTTCAGGCTGGAGAAAAAAGAGACAACGATCTCGTGTTTTTTCTTGCGTGAGGACTAACGGTGACTAACGTCCTGCCGGTGTTCCAAAATGACTTCCTGAGGTATGCTGATTCCATTGTGAAGCTCTACGCAGTTTGTGCGGTCCTGCCCCCAGCCGATACCTGTCAATGCAGCAGTTGTTTCGCTGGATCTTTTTCGCGAGGCCATGGCCCTCACCGCCATTTTATCGTCAATTTTCCTGAGCTATTCCTTGGATTTTCATACCCTGGGTGGCTACTTGGTGACTTTCCTCTCCATGTGTTTGTACTACCTGCCCCCGGACGTGCTCTTCTCCAGCGACACGGACTTCTTTCACGGGCTCACCCACACGCGGAAAACCCAGTGATTGGAGGAAGCCGGAGAGTCGAAAAGCCTCTCAGGCGGCAGCGGCCGGAGAAAATGCAGCTCAGCGACCGGAGGGCGAAACCATGTACATCTATGAACGGTCCAACATGGAGTGCTGGTGCTTGTGTTGATCATTGTTAGAATCTCGAAATCAAGGATTCTTGCATTCAACAAACATGTGTGGTTTGCATATGTCCTTTCCCAGAGCTGTGATTCTTTTTTTATGTCTTCGGCCGTTTAGTGCTCCAAAGCTACGAGGTGGGCTGCTTGTGATGGCACGCCGAAGTGACGGAATAGATGAGTTTCGCTTTCCGTGGGAACCACTGAAGGTTTCGGAGGTTCACTTGCACACGCGCCTATGCCGTGATGTGGAGGCCGGGAGGGTTCAAGTTCTGAGACCCAACGTGGACCGTGCAAGCGAAAAAAGCACATACACACACCCACCCACGCAGTTTCAAGGTTAACGCACTTGAGTCACAGGGTATGGCACCTTGGCAGGAAGAGATCCTCGTACCTGGTAGACCAAGCACTCTGAAACTCTCTGAGTACTTGGAGTCTGGACCTCATGTTCCTTCAGGCCCGCCACCAGGTCTTGATCTTCCTCTCACCCTGCTGGAGAGGCGAAGTGGGCCTCAGATTCCACAGGTGCGGGAGCCGACCAAGCGCATGAAACGCATGGCCTTCACCAGCTTCCTCCGCACACCCAACGGCGCAGAGGAGACCTGTTTGAAGCTCGATTCGGCCATGCTCGATTCGAGCTATGTGGCAGAATTGGTGGCGGCGGTTCTGCCCGACTTGCCTAGCTTGGCATGTGATCCACAAGGAATCCAAGTTCTATCGAAGCTTCTCTCTGTCTCAAGCCGCGAGAGTTTGTGCAAGCTGGCGCGGCGCTTGCAGGGTTCGATTCTAAAACTTACTAAGGACCGGGAGGAAACAAACACCAAGTGCAGGGACTGTTCTCATAGTGTTCTATGGTCTGACATCAACAGCCATTTCATGCAGTTGTCATCGTTCAAGGCTCCTTCCAGGTGTCTCAGGGCATGGGACATAGGCAAGACAAACCATGCAGGACAAGCATGGCTGCTGGTTCATGCAGCAGGCGCTGCACTTCGTTCCTTGCGAGCTCCAGGAATTGATCCAAGAGGAACTGAAAGGCGGGAGCTTTGAAATTGTGTAAGTGTTTCAAGACCACAGAAGTCAAGCAAGTGTAAAGGAAATCAAACTCAAAAGGCAGGCAGCTGGTTGGGATGCTATGCTTTGTCCCCGAGGCAAAATTTTGGCTTGCAGTCAGCACCTTCATGGGAACTTTGTCTTGCAGAAATGTGTCGAGCTGCTTCCGGGCACCATCTCTTTCATCATCAAAGAGCTCAAGAATCATGTCATGGAGGCAGCCATGCATGTGTATTCCTGTCGGGTGCTGCAACGCATCATCGAGCGCAACGACAAACGCTTGTTTGGCCGCCCCGACATGATCGGAGTTTTGGAGACCTTGTTGCGATTGGAGAACCTGCAAAAGTTGGTGATCGAACCCTATGGAAACAATGTCATACGGGCCGTCCTAGCTTGCGGGACCAGTCTGCATGTGCAAAAGATCATGAAAGTTTTTGCTTGTGGAGAGGCTGGCTTATTGGCCTTGGCCCGGAATCGGCATGGCAGCCTTGTCCTTGAGAAATTGTTGGAAACCTTGAACGGAGAACTTCGAAACGAGCTCCAAGCGGAACGCGAAGCTCTCATGTGTGCCATTCTTGGTGGCACAGAGTCTTCGCTCTTCGTGCAGATTGCATTAGACAGGTTTGGTAACTACATTGCGCAGAGGACCATCGAGGTGTCCGAGGGTCAAGAGCAGCAGAGAGTTCAAGAACTTCTTAAAAGTCTTGGTCCAAAGCTGCGGCGTGCGGCGAATGGAAGGCACATTTTGCAAGCAGCCCGGAAGAGATTTGGCTCAACACTCAGTGTTACCGACCTGGGATCATGATGAATCATGAGAGTCTCCCTCTAAGAGGGGCCTTCACGCACCTGACGTGAGGCAAGCTAGAAAGACTTAGAAAGCTGCATTGGAGCTGACGGTTGCTTCAGCCGCTTCGCTGGAAGCGAACTCGTGCTGCAAGGTGCATAGATGTACAGCTGAATTTGGGAAAACCCCGTGACAGCCCACTGCAGGGGCACAGAAATACCACGTGTGAAGGTCTTGAAGGTCTCTGTAGATGAGCTTGCAGGGCTTTCAAAGAGGCTCTTTGTGTAGCCGCCTCACGAAAGAGCCTTCCTGCATCCCCAAGTCTTCGCCAAAACGCGGAGCTGCTAATCCGATTTTTTTAGGTGAGGTTCATCACCAAACTTGACTCACCCAAAGAGATGTTTATTTGGATGTGTCTTCGAATTGGGGGACCCGCCCAACGGTCGTCGGAACATCTCTAGGTCGCTTCGCCCAATCTTTTTGCCTCGTGAAGTCACGCGCAATCTTTTGAGTGGAGGGCCCCTCAATCAAAGACGCAACCAGAAGGGCCCTGGAGCATTTGTGTCCGGTGCCCAGCTTCCATTTGTTGAAGCTTTGCTACCCACGCCTCGAAGGAGGTTTTGATTGGCGCACGATGAATGCCCGTGTGGGAAGCTACAGCTCAAGCTGTATTAGAATGGCCACCTGTACAGAACCTATTTGTGTTCGTAGTGTTTAGGGGAAAATCCGAGCGTGCTGGACTTTTCTTGGCATTTCTCACGCTGAACCAGAAATTCTCATGGGATCGAATGCACAACTCTCAAGGAGTCTTTGCCCTGAGTGTTTTGCTCAAAAGGGACATTTGATGGGCTTGCACAAGGGCAAGCAGGGTGATGCCGCTGCTTTTACAGGCCTGGATGCGAGCCAGTTTCAGATGAGTCGTCCCGTTTCACTCTTCCAGGCTGGGCTACAGCCCGAAGACCCAGCGATGGACACCGCGGTGGACACCGTGGTGGACACCGCGTGGAGCACCGGACCTGAGCGTTGAGAGATTCGGAGTTACCCAAGTGACTGCTCTTGTAAGAAAACTGAAAGAAGACTGATTCTTGGTGGCAATCGCTCTTCGATCTCTTCGATCTCTTCGTCTACTCATGAAGCTTCCATTCAATCCCCTCGAAACTAGTCATGTTTGGAACAAGTCTTTCATTGTTTGGACATCTTCTAGTGGCAAGAAGCTAGTAGGTTGGAGGCCATCCCTACTAGGGTGGAGGCCATTACTACTAGTAACAAGAAGCTACTAGACTGACTCTACTGAGCCCAGAGCGAGCCCAGCTTGGCCCAGCTTGGCCGTTGGTCGGCGGTTCCAGGTCTCCGAATCCTAAGATGACGCCCTCGCCCTTGTGCGGACACCTAGCTGGCCTAGGTGGCCTCATCGAGTAAGATTAAATTGAGTCGATTCAGATGGTGTTCAATCACACAGTATGATGCCCGGTAGAAGAAATGGATTTAGCTGTCCACTGCCCCAGCCTGGCCTTTTTCATTGTTGTGCTTGTGGAGTAGGTGCAATCTGACCAAAGCAAGGACATAACCCTGGGTTCGAGAGAGATCGAGCCACTGATCACAGTGAGCCAGCAGATTTGGCGACGCAGGTCAGTCTCTTCAACCACATCTTCACCTACAGCCAAGGACATGGGTCCTACGGCAGTCCTTCTGTGCTTGTGCCGCTTCCTGTTGATTGTGCCGCTTTGGTTGGGTTGTTCTGAAAGGTTAAGCGGTGTCCTGGCAGAGAAGAAGGACGCACATATTTCACATATATATATATATATCAATTTTGCCATGAATGACATTTCCGGGATTGAGCTCAGCGGCTCAACCTCTTTAAAACCGTTCTTTTGTTGGTTGCTTTTTTGGGGTCCGACCTCAGGACAAGCAGCAAAAAGACAGTGCTGTGGTCCTTCAGCTGGCGAAGACCAAAATGCGGGGGGCGACCGATCAGACGAACGGTCGGTCGGTCGGACGGTCGACGCAGAGGTTAGAAAGCAGTGATGGCCTCCAACCTAGTACAGATGGCCTCCAACCTAGTAGCGATGGCACTGGTAACCGGAGTAAAGCTGAAATAGAAAGTCTACCACCTGAGCATCAGTCGACACCTTCAGTGAAAGCGACCGAAGGGTGATGGATGCTGGGCAGTGCTGGGCAGTATGGGTTTCCTGTCCATGGAAAGATGGGAGCCCAGTGAGGTGTGCCTTCTTCGAACGAGGCAAGTGTGCCTCCGATACATGCAGGCCAGGGAGAGGGCTCAGTGTGTGGATTTATTGGGTTGTTATTCGGTGCGGGGCATTAATTTTGGCTTCAAATATTTTCACTTGCGCGCGCACACGTGCGGCGAGACCGCGTACGAGACACCGACGTGCGAGCGAGGTATGCCCATTCGCCCAGCGAGCTTCGGCGTCCTCCCAATTTGCAGAAGACCAAGCTTTGCAAGTGCTGCTCCCAGAGCGACCTGACCCGACAGCACACAGCATTTTGGGTAGGCAGGTCATTTGCTGTTTTGCTTGGGAGAAGAAAGAGGGTAGATACACTCAGATTGAGACAACTTTTTCAAGAAATGCTGGAACATACATGAACATAAGGCATACAATATAAAGCATTTTGAGATGACTTCTGAACCAACATTTGTTCCTTTCTCGTCAGACATCCGTTTGTTTCCACGAAGCAGACACCGTCTTCACCGAGGGCCTTCCTACAAGGCAAGTGCCGTGATGGCGAGAACTGTTCGTGTGAACCCGAGAACTAGCCGTCTGAACCGCTCCGACTCGGGGGAACCGATGAAAGGTTGAAGCTTTTTCAGTGGGTCGCTGTTCGGAAAAAGGGAGACGTTTGGAACAGTCGATGAAGTCGTGAGCTGAGATCTTCCTTTTGGTTCCCAAGCCTAGTCGTTTTCGAAACGGGCAGGTGAGGTCCAACCTTTTCTGCATCTCACAGGCCTCCTTAGGAAGACCTAGTAACAAGGGCATCGCTACTAGTAACAAGGGCAATACTACTAGGAGCGATCGGACGCTACGAACGTAGCTCCTGGCATTACTAGGAAGAAGGTTCGCTACTAGTTGGCACACATCGCACTGAATCTCCTGTCTCCGGTTTGGGCCGAATCTCGACACGAGGTTTGCCCATGGGGAGTCGGACCTGCGGGTCACCGCTGGGATCTACAAAACCCAGATGTGCAACTTCTATGAGCGAGGATACTGCAAGAAGGCCGGATTGGTCGTTTTGTCGTTTTCCTTTTTTTCTTTCCCCACAGCAGCATGTGCCAAAGAAGTGAGTTCTTGGAGTTCTTGGAGTGAGCTTTCAGCAATGGCTGAGGCTTTTTCATTTTACTCTTCTGTACTGAACTTAGGTCTGATACATACAGATCACACATAGTTGATTACATGGAAGCAATCTAGCGGTGTTTTCGAAGCGCATGATTTCGCGCTTTTCCTTCGGGTCTGAGTTGTGATGGCTTGAAGGGCTGTTTTGGGCTATTGCCATAGTAGGATGAGTATCTCGCCACTTTTGGAAGCTAAAGCTGCAAGAGTCAGGCAGCCCAGTTTTTCGGCTCTACGATCTGGCTTCGGGAATCCACACGAACCTCCAAGTCCCGACATGAGCTAAGTCCCCATGACACGGCTGAAGTCGCCGCAAAAACCGGCTTAGCCATCGCACGCGAATCGGTAGCCATCTCTGGTTCGAAGGTGCACCTGTAGAAAGTGGCCGTTTTTCAGCCAGGTAAATGGCTGAGGCTGAAGCTGCTCAAGGTCCTCAGCCCGACGAAGTGCCCTTCTCACGGATGGTCCATGAAGCATTCCACAAGGCCAAAACCTGCAATCCTTGCCTTTTCTACATGAGAAAGGAGGACGGGTGCCGCAAAGGAGAGGTTCCTGGTCCTGGAAAAGAACAGGGAGGTTGATCTGGGTGGGCTTGCAACATGTGTTGGGCCAGATGAGTGAGTTGGTGTTGCAGATCCTAGGTGAGTTGGTCCGTTCCGGAAGTGAACGTGAGTTGGTCGCAGACAAGGTGAACGACCTGTTGTCCAAAGGACCATCATTTCTGGAAGAACTAGGAAGCACTGCAACAAGTTCGAGAATTCAGTTTTCCCTCAAATGGTCAGACCATTTTCCGCACATTTACATGTATATATTTTTAGCTTGGGGTCAGTGCATGGATGGATCTGCGCATCCACCATGCCATCGTCGCGGAGTGAACCGATGCGTAGGTATATATAATATACATGCAGTACTATGCGTAGGTATATATATACATATGGGTCTTGAGTTTGCTCAGTTCCAATCTCATTATTTGATTGTGCCTTTGCGTTTCCCATCGCTACTGGTTTCTGCAAGAAAGAAGACTGTCACAAGGCAAACAGATCATTCTTTGTAGCTCTCGGCTCTCGGGTTGTTTTGGAGCACATGCACATCTCGTTCATCATTGCACGGTCTCCTTTCCTCACGTGATTCACAAGGCTTCACTTGAGAAAAGTTGCGTGATCGTAAGACTAACTGGCTTGTGGCAGCCATGTGTTCATAGCGACATTGCTTTCCTATCATTGAGACGCAGGAGTCCCAATGTGTCGGATTGCTGGGTTTAGACTGTCGTGAGACAGGTGAGTTGTACCCCACACTGCGACTGTAATTGAACGATCTTGCGTGTTTGTAAAGTTTGGGTACAGATGTGAGCTGTCTGCTGGATGCTTGAGTATTGGGGGGATCATGGGTGTATTTTTGACGCGAGACAAGATGTGATTCTTGACGAATGTCGTAGTCTTCTCAAACCAATTTCCAAAACGACCCTGGCAGACAAAGCGTGTAAAGATTGGGGCTCGAACTGCTGGCTGGAGCCCCTTAGTGTCCTTGCTCCTAGTAGTAAGGCCAGGAGCCCTGTTCGTAGCGTCCCTCGGTCCGAGGTGTGCCGGCATTGCCACCTTTGCACTCTGGCCGAAATGAAGCCACGACGGAACCGCTTGCAGATGGAGAAGAGGCCGACTCGACGTGAGGGTCGCGACTGTCGCCGATGGCGGACGGAGACCGGTCATGGAGAGGGGATTTCGTTGGAACTCAGATGTTGGCGGAGACCTTGAACAGCCGACTTGAATGGCTAAGAGAAGGACGGAAGTTTCTGGTGGCGCTTACTTTCTGCTTATACCATGGTTGATGCATCCACATCATTTAGAATTCCGGCGAAGGAGTTTCCACCTCGAACTTGGTCATAATGCCAAACATGTAGTTCAGGGTGGAGTTTCCTCCACCGGAATTCCACTGTGACAAGGTCGGATTTGGGGAAAGGACTGTACACCACACTTGGTATTTACTGTGGTCAGTGACCTGACCTGACTCCCGGAGAGTGATCGGGTCCAGTGGCAGCCGCACTTCTGTTCTGGTCACCGGTGGGTGAAGAAATGGTGAAGATCTGTCCCGCTAGACAGCGTGGAGCCTGGGATTCTGCCGGGT